TCCTCGGTAGAGTGCTGTGGCATCACAGCTCACAGCAACCTCCATCTCTTGGGCTTAGGTGATTCTCTTGTCTCAGCCTTCTGAGTAGCTGGGACCACAGGCACCTGCCACAACACTTGGCTATTTTTTTGTTGCAGTTTGGCTAGGGCTGGGTTTGAACCTGCCACCCTCAGTATATGGGGCTGGTGCCCTACTCAGTGAGCCACAAGCACTGCTCCAACATTGGATTTTAATTTATCAGGTATTTTAGTTGAATAAATGAATTATTTCTAATGAATTTTAACTTTATTAGGATATTTTGTGTGGGAGACAAAGCTTGAACTATTAGGTCATTTTCTTTTTGGTCATGGCTTTCTAGGCTAAATGTTATTAGTTAAATAGGATAAACTTTTATAAGACTCAGAGTGAAATAGGACTATTTTCATGTGTGTGTCTATATAAAATTAAAAATCTGTAAGGAAGCACATTAAAAAAAATGTCTGGAAAGACAAAATTAAGGATCCTGGATAACAAGCTGAGGAGCCAGGCCCAAGTTTATATTCCTGTCAGGGCCAATTCATATTGTACCTAACAGCATTTCACTATAGTTAGAGGAAGATTTTTCATTGTGGCAAGACTAATATCTTTCTGTTTTAGTTCATTTGCTACTGAATTAGAAGTTCTGGGTTATTGCTTCATTTTTCTTAAATTAAAAACCACATTTCCATGAGGTTGATCGCATGAAAACACCCAGCCTAGGAAGATACCAACACTCAAACTACCAACATAATGAAATCCACATATGAAAAGTCCCAACTACCATCATATTCAGTGGTGAATTGAAAGCTTTTCCTTTAAGATCAGGACCAAGGCCAGGAGGGACTGCTTTTACCGCTTTTATTCAACCTAGTCGTAGGTCTCCTAGCCAGAGCAATAAGGAAAGACAAAAAGGAAGAAAAGGTAAAATCATGTGATTGCAGGTGATATGATCTTATAAATATCAAAACCCTAAAGATTACACAAAAAATTGTTAGAACTAATAAGTAAATTTAGCAAAGTAGCAGGATACAAAGGCAACACTCAGAAATAAGTTGCATTTTTTTACACTAGCAGTGAGCAACCTGAACAGGAAACTGTTTAATTTACAATAGCATCAAAAAGAATAAAATACTTAGGAATTAATTTAAAGAATCGAAAGACTCATACAATGAAAAGTGCAAAACATTGCTGAAAGTAAGAACATATAAATAAATGGAAACAAACCCTGTGTTTATGGGTCATAAGACTTAATATTGCTAAGTAGTCAATGCCATCCAGTGTGATCTACAGATTTGATGCAATCTCTACTAAAATCCCAGTGATGTTTTTACAGAAATAGAAACATTTATCCTAAAATTCATAGAGAATATCAAAAGACCCTGAATAGCCAAAATAGTCTTGAAGCTGGAAGAGAATCACACTTTTTAATTTCAAACCTTACTGCAAGGTACACTAATCAAAATAGTATGGAACTGGCATAAAGACAGATATGTAGACAGTGGAGGAGAATAGAAAGCCCAGAAATTAACCCTCACAAATACGGGCAAGTGCTTTCCAGTGAGAATGCCAAGAGCATTTAATGGAGAAAGGACAGTCTTTTTAACAATTGTGCTGAGAAAACTGGATGTTTGTGGGCAAAAGAATGAGGTTGGACCCTTACTTCAC